GTGGCTAAAGAGCGCTAACATGGAAGCTAAAGCTGTGAAATCACTGCACGCTCCTTCCTCCGCCGCTCCAGGCGATACAGGGAATTCTGTATCTGACTCCTTCTTGACTTACTGGGAAACTCTCCTGATAGGCTAAACACTGCACTCAAGAATCATTTACATGTAGCAAGCAGCAGCTGAGGGAGAAGCACAGAGGGCACGCTTTGAGGTTGTCCTGGGCGCTGCCCTGTGGAGCTCTGCCTGAGACGCTGAATGACTGCTTAGCTTCCTCCACTGTCCAGAGGAGAGAGAGAGAGAGAGGGGTGGAAAAAAACCCAGGGTCAGGGCAGCTCTCCAAACAACAACACTTCACTGAACACATTAATATTTCACCAGCTCTGTCACCAGGTGTTGGCTGCATGAGATAGGAAGAGAAACAGAGACACAGGAAGAGAGAGCCCACGGTTGGAGACCATGTATGTTGGAGATGAAAGGGTGGAGGAGAAATTGATAAGTGGTTTAATATCCGTACCGGTGAGAGATTGGTGGAAGGTGGTGGTTTGCATCTGAATGTGTTTGTGTGCAGTGAAGAGAGACAGAAACAGTGGAGTGTTTGTGTCGGAGGGAGATTGACTCAGCAGGAGGCGCAGGCCGTATATTTCAAACACATCAGGATGAGAGCTGGATGATAGGCAGCCTGAATGTCAGACAGAAATGTCAGCAGATGTGGTGAGACATGTAAGAGGAGAGTAATCCACAGGGTTCACGCTGCTGAGCATCGGAGTGTTTCAAGAAGAAAGGTTTCAAACACGTGCTCCAAATTTGCGGCTGTTCTACCTCTGCAGACAAAATGCTATAAAGTAATACATTCACAGAAAAGGTAAATAAAATGTGCTTCACCTGCAGTTTAAAGATGTTTACCTTAGATAGTTCCTCTACATGATTTGCTTGGTCAATATTTAGACTGAAGGTCAGTTAAAGTTGAACTGGTAACCTATTAGCTGTTAGCCTCAAAGATTAGCCTTAAAATGGCTGTAGATCTAGATGTTAGCCAGAATGCTAATAGTTTGTAAAAGATAAATTAATGTTAGCCTACTGATAGCTACACATTAACCCAAATACACAACCAGGTAGAATTTATACCAGCCCAGAACGAGGCATAGCTAAAGCTAAGGACACACTATAAGATTTTTTTTTTTTTTTGAAGCTAAGGACACACTATAAGATTTTTGCCAAATTTTACCCTCAATTTCCAGTGTGGCACAAATAAACCCAAGTCAGTGTTGTCTGTAGCTGTCAGTCGCTGTGGCTAGGTTGTGATAAAACCTATAAAAATACTGCTTCCAATCTCAGACCCACTCAATCATTTTTTCATTTTGACCCAACTATAACGTGTTGACAACAGCCAATGAAAAATAAAGGGTGGGAG